CATTCAAAGATTCAATCTTTATTCATTAAAAAACTCATTGTGACTTCAAAGAAAACTCGAATAAGTTTAACTAAAAACTCTCATTTTCTTTCAAAGATTCAATCTTTATACATTGAAAATGTCTAGTGACATAATATTTACCTTGATTGAAATATTTTCATTCAAAGATTCAATATTTACTCATTAAAATACCCTTCGTGACGTCACAGGAAACTCGAATAAGTTTAACTCAAAACTCTCATTTTCTTTCAAATATTTAATCTTCATACATTAAAAAGGTATAATAGTACATTGATTGAGGTATTTTCATTCAAAGATTCGATCTTTACTCATTAAAAACGCTATTCACGACTTCATAGGGAACTCGAATAAAATTAACTCAAAACTCTCATTTTCTTTCAAATATTTAATCTTTATACATTAAAAAAGTCTAGTGACATAAAAGGTACCTTGATTGAGGTATTTTCATTCAAAGATTACTCATTAAAACACTCTTCGTGATGTCAAATAATACTCGAATAAGTTTAACTAAAAATTCTAATTTCCTTTTAAAAACTCAATCGTTATACATTAAAAAGGTTTAGTGACATAATAAGTACTTTGATTGAGGTATTTTCATTCAAAGATTCAATCTTTACTCATTAAAACACTATTTACGACTCCGTAGGGAACTCGAATAAGTTTAACGCAAAACACTCATTTTCTTTCAAAGATTCAATCTTTATACATTAAAAATGTCTAGTGACATAATAGGTACCTTGATTTAGTTATTTTTATTCAAAGATTCAATCTTTACTTATTAAAACACTCTTCGCGACTTCATAGGGAACTCGAATAAGTTTAACTCAAAACTCTCATTTTCTTTCAAAAATTCAATCTTTATACATTGAAAAGGTCTAATGACATAATAGGTATCTTGATTGAGGTATTCTCATTTGAAGATTCAATCTTTATTCATTAAAATACTCTTCGTGACGTCAAAGAAAACTCGAATAAGGTTAACTAAAAACTTTCATTTTCTTTCAAAGATTCAATCTTTATACATTCAAAAGGTCTAGTAACATAATAGGTACCTTGATTGAGGTATTTTTATTCAAAAATTCAATCTTTACTCATTAAAACACTCTTCACGACTTAATAGGGAACTCGAATAAGTTTAACTCAAAACTCTCATTTTCTTTCAAAGATTCAAACTTTATACATTAAAAAGGTCTAGTGACATAATAGGTACCTTGATTGAGATATTTTCATTCAAAGATTCAATCTTTACTCATTAGAAAACTCATTGTGACTTCAAAGAAAACTCGAATAAGTTTAACTAAAAACTCACATTTTCTTTCAAATATTCAATCTTTATAAATTAAAAAGGTCTGGTGGCATAATATTTACCTTGATTGAGGTATTTTCATTCAAAGATTTTTAACTCAAAACTCTTATTTTCTTTCAAAGATTCAATCTTTATACATTAAAAATGCCTAGTGACATAATAGGTACCTCGATTGTGGTATTTTCATTCAAAGATTTAATCTTACTCATTAAAATACTATTCACGACTTCATAGGGAACTCGAATAAGTTTAACTCAAAACTCTCATTTTCCTTTAAAGATTCAATATTTATACATTAAAAAGGTCAAGTGATATAATAGATACCTTGATTGAGGTATTTTCATTCAAAAATTCCATCTTTACTCATTAAAACACTCTTCGTGACTTCATAGGGAACTAAAATAAGTTTAATTCAAATTTCTCATTTTCTTTCAAAGATTCAATCTTTATACATTAAAAAGGTCTAGTGACATAATAGGTACTTTGATTGAGACATTTTCATTCAAAGATTCAATCTTTACTCATTAAAACACTCTTCACGACTTCATAGGAAATTCGAATAAGTTTAACTCAAAACTCTGATTTTCTTTTAAAGATAATATGTTGAGATCAAGATTAAATAAAATAAAAAATTACCATCACCACTAGCACGATGGTGTTAAATGGCTCATGGAGTTTGATAGTTCTTACATACTTTCTGTATTAATCTTCTATTGTTACATACAAAGATCAATATTAAACCCTAACCGAAAGAGAGTATATAATTAATACAAAGTAGAGATTTAATTGAGAGAGGCTATAAATGACCCAAAATGTTAAATTGGGGAAAAAGTGTGAGAGAAATATATATTTCTAAACTGAAAGGGTAATTATGATATTTGAGAACAAAATAATTATTTATTTATAAAATTAGGGATATAATTGTCCTTTTATTTAAGAGTAGTGCAATTGTAGAAAAATAGAGTGCGAATATCGACTCCCTTATTATAGTGTATTATATTCACTTTGCTTAGCTAGCACCCAAAAATCTTATTATAATCTTATTATTATAATGTATTATTTCTTATTATAATGCCGTAAAAGCCATTTTGGATACTACCGCAAGGTTACGACAAAAGCATTTACAGAAGAGGATCCGTTCCTCATACACTATACATTAGTGGCAATGATCCCAATGGAAGTAGGTCAAAGAATGAGACAAAATACTTAACAATATATATAAACACACACACACACACACACACATATATAATAAACTGTTTATATTAGTTAAAAAGGAAGTGGGTCAAACAGTGAACTTATCTTTGTATATCAAGTCAAATAGTAAGAATAAACAAATACAAAGCTGTATTCTTACATTCTTTTGGTGGATCTTCATAATGGATATCTTGAAATATTACTTAAGTGATGAGTAACTTTCTAGGAAAAAAAATGATTGAAGTAGCAATTTGTTACTTGAAAACCATTATAAGTAAGAAATAATTGAACACTTTATAAAAACTTTTGTTATTATTTTGAAACTAGTGTTGAATTTTTTAAAAACTGTTTAAGGTCAACAAACACGTTTTTCTATTTACTATTTTAAAAAAAAGATAAATATTTTTACATTTTCAAAGAATGTATTTGTTTATCGATAAATAAAAATTACACATAAATATATAATTTTTTTTTCTTTTCTTTTCCTAGCAAATAAAACGCTACAACCCAACAAGAGTACATAGTTCATCCATCTCAAAGAAATGATCAAAAAAAAAAACATTCAACAAACACATAACATAGCAGCCACCCACAGAACATAATTACGGTAACACAGCATAATGACAACTTCCATATTGCTGCACCACTAGACGCATTAGTCTCTTTTTGGGCTTGGCCAAACAGCAGAATGACACATAAACACTTAGGGCATGTTTGAGCATTGTTCTACCATGTTCTACTCCCTTCCCTACAGTGCAAAATTCTACTGTTCTGGCCCAAAACGTGTTTGGCATGGCTTGTATTGTTTTAAACAGTGCTGGAACATTTGGCAAAAATGGGCCAATTGTTGGAACAAAAAATAGGTGTTCTTGCTTGTTCCCATACTGTATCGGCCCACATAATACTGTACCGGGAAGAACAAACACCAAAACTTGTACTCACTTTTGATCACAGCTATAAAAAATCGCAGAACACTTTCTAGGGTTCACGAAGCAAGCCGTTCCAGAGGCGAGTCACAGTGCTCTTCTTGTCACTGCAGTGGGGTTGAATCAGATCTGAAGGTCGTCTTCTTCATTCTTTGGTGAGTTCCTCTGCTTCTTCTTCTGGTTTTCCTTATGCTCTGTCTAACGTGGATTCCGTTGTTTGAAGATCGAGCTTCAAATCGACCATGTTTGTATGAAGATCTGACCTCCGTCTGTCTCACCTCTGCATTTTTCGGCGAAACCAAGCTTCGCTACTGCTCTCTGCACTCTCGGTTTACCCAAGCTCTCTTTTTATTTCCTCTTCTCTCTCATCTTGGTATGTTGAGATTTGTTACAATTTTTTATGTTATTTCAGTTAATATTGATGAGAAAATTCTCAGAGCAAAGAATGCAGAAGTATGTGTGTGTATATAGAGGAACATTACAATGTCTCATTTAGACTTCGATCTATTTTGGAGTTTTAATTTTTTTTATTACTTCTTGTCATACAAGGTATTATAATCTTTGTCTGATAAAAAATGGCTTGAATACTATATAAATAGAGGTGGAGTTGGGTTAAAAAAAGGTAGAGAATAGATTTTATGTATAGAAGAACATGGGTGAAACTCAGAGGGTGTGGAAAAGAATATGAAAAATAGACTTTTAAATGTCAAAATAGTCGTTTAAGAATATGAAAAATACATCTCTGTATATAATTTATACATATATGAGCTGATTATATCTCTATATATGTATGTTAGATGGTTTTGTGATGATATGATTCAGTTGTGCTCGAATGAAAGGAAATTTTTTGATAATCACCAAAAATTGCTATAAAAAGAAATTGCTATAAAAAAAAGTTACTCGTAATATTTGTAACACAAGTTTGGGAAGGAGAGACAAAACCCCACCCCGTTCTAAATTGTCTCAATTATTAATAAAACATATACTTCATTATTAAATTTATTTTGAAAATTATTAAATTGGTATTATTATTTTCTTTCATCAGTTTTCCTATTTTTAAAAATATGGAGTGATTATTAAGCATTTGTCTATATTCTGTCTATCTTTTGGTTTCTAATTTTTTTTGGAAAAATGTGCCTTTTCTAATTACCAAGTTGTCTATTGATAATTATATAGATATATATGAAAAAAGAAAGCCAAAAAGACAGAGTTAAAAAAAAAATTTAAAAGTGTAATAATCACAGAAACAGGAAATTATAAACTCTCTTAAATTTGAAGGGTGAGAGCAAAAGAAAATAATCACAAACTTGTTTCCGTGTTCCATAAATCTAAATTTATAAAGTTAAAATTCCTAAAACTATACAGTTTGAATATATCAAATCATTTTAATAGTCAAAACTTCCCTAATTACTTATTTTAACAAAACAAATACACTATTATCTATATATCTCTTATGTATTGCGATTTAAGATTTTGGTAATGGGGAAGATGGAGAGTTTTAGAGCATGTATGACCCTTTTAACACATTTTTATTAAAACTATGTAATTAAATGGATATAAATGTTGACAATGTGGTGGGAGAAGAAATAGAGGACCTTATAGACAATACCGATGATGGAAAACTAGTATGGGATGATTCTCAGGTTGAAGCTTTCATCATCTGTATGGAGGAAGAAGTGAAGGCTGGTAATCGGAGTAACACAACTTTTAGTGCAATTGGTTGGAAGAATATACTAAAAGGCAAGATGGTCCGTATAGGCAACAATCTTGTACTGAAATAACTTAAGAGTAAATTCAACCACTTGAGAACAGACTACAAAGCGTTTGTGGGTCTGTTAGGAGAAACAAACATGGGATTCAATGCTGAGACAGGCATGGTTATAGTTGAAAAAGAAAGATGGAGTAGATTGATCAAGGTTAGTTATTAAAATAAATGTCTGTTGATTTTACAAAAAAGTATACTTATCTTAATATTAATAGTAATTTAATAATTTGTAGGTGAATGCCCAATATAGTAAGTATCGAAAGAAGCCATGCAATCATTTTGACAAGCTCACCACCATATTTGGAGGCACACACGCTGCAGGTGTACATGTCCATACTTCGTATAATCCACCCATTATGAACCAAGCCCCCGCACACCATGCAGGCATACATAACTCATTTAACCTTAATGATGATTTTGCTGAGTTAGGCGGTCATGAGTTCAGTCCTTTTCCTGAATCTCGTGGTAAGAAACCAAAGAGAAAGAGTTTTGCCTTCACAATGAGCGAGCTCATGTACTATATGAAAGAGAGAGATAGAGAGAAAACAGATTGAATTGAAATGGCCATAGTCGCTTCTTCATCATCTATGATTACAGTTAATGAAGGAAATGTGGAGGTTGAAGTCAATTATCCCGACAAGACAAAAGGTGATTTTAAGTTATGTTGTTATATTTTGAATAAGTTGAAGGGTGTTAATATGAAACAATATGGTAAGGTTATCCAGATGTTACGCAATGATGAAATTTGGAGGGATTTCTTTCTTAATGACTGTCCTGATGATAAGAGGGTTAGTTGGATCAATGGACTTTAATTTAGTATGTTGCTTTTATTATGATTTTGGATGACTGTACTATTAAGTATACTTTAGTTGGTGTGTTGCTTTTATTTCTTATTTGGTGTTGTTATGACTTTAATTGATTGTAATATTAAGTACACTCGTGTTTATGTTATTTGGTTTGAAGCTCATGACAATATAACTATTTCATGAACTGATTTGACTTTATTTGTTGTCTTGCTTTTATTTATTATTTGGTATTTCGCTTGAGATGATTGTAATTAATCTCGTTTATTAAATTTTGACTTATACAAATGGATATTAGGACAATAATTGATTTGTATGACGATGGTGATGAGGAGAACGATTGTGTCATCGTAATGGCATGCATGTTGGAGTATTATAGGAAACATTACGATAAACAACCTTGTAGGGATTCTGTTTTAACTGGGGAAACATATATAATGGAGATCTTGAAATAGATGTTTTGAAAATTTCAGGATGTCCACCCCTGTTTTTTTGAAGTTATGTGGGGAGCTTCAGTCATTAGGGTTGAAAGACTCTACAGGTGTAAGTGTTTATGAACAAGTTGGCATATTCTTGCTTACTTTAGGTCATAATGAAGGAAATCGTGTGGTCGCAGAAAGATTTCAACACTCCACCTATACAATTTCAAAATACTTCCATGCGGTTTTACAAAAAGTCTGTAATTTAGGGAAACAAATTATTGTCGCCCCAGATTTTAGCGAAGTTCCTAACCATATAAAGAAGAACAAAAAGTACCACCCTTTTTTTAGGCATTGCGTAGGGGCAATTGATGGAACTCATGTCCATGCGAACGTGCCTGTGGACCAGCAAATACCATTTCATGGTAGGAAGGGAGATACCACACAAAATGTAATGGTTGTTTGTGATTTTAATATGATGTTCACGTACGTCGTAGCAGGATGGAAGGGGTCTGCTAATGATTCTAAGATATTGAACAAGACCATTAATAATGAGGATTTGCATTTCCCAATGCCTCCAGACGGTAAATGTCATACTTGCTATAATTTTGTAATACTTATTTAAAATATCATGGTAAAAAAACGTGGCTTATAGTTTGTAAAATGGCAGGGAAATATTATTTGGTGGACTCCGGATATGCCAATCAACCGGGTTTCTTGGCCCCCTACAAGGGCCAACAGCACCACTTCCAAGAGTACCGTAGAGCTTCTCGCCAACCCCAAGGTAGAGAGGAAATATATAATCACAGGCACTCGTCATTACGAAATATAATTGAGCGTTGTTTTGGGTTTCTTAAGATAAGATTCCCCATCTTGAAGCAAATGCCCCCATATAAGTTTGAAGCTCAAGTTGCTATTGTGTTAGCCTGTTGCACACTTCATAACTTTATAAGAAATTAGGCGCATGTAGATCCAATATTTAATGATGCAACTGTGGAGGCGATGATAAATGAAATTTTTGGAGATGATAAAGTTGATGTTCCACATAATGCATCGCAATCTTGCTCGTGACCAATGGATATTCTACGCGATAATATTGCTGACACTATATGGAATGCAAGTCAGCACCATTGAACAAGGATTTACATGTTTATCATGTTTGGATAACTGTAAAAACTACTTTATACTTGTTCCATTTGTTAGTATTTGGATAACTGTAACAACTACTTTATTTTAACTATTTGTATGGATTTGGATAACTGTAATAAAATCTTTATTTTAACATTAATTTACGATTTCGATAAATGTAAAAGTTGTTGTAACTATATGATTATCTTTTTTATTTTATTTTAATTTTTTCTTTTAACTTTTTTGGATCAGTTTAATAACTTGTATATACAGTCATGTATAAGATACAGGGTGATGGGGCCACCGTGTGCTTGTGGAAGGGGTCGAATGAATCTTTATACGGCTGCAACTTCAAAAAATTATGGACGTTCATTCTATAGATGTCCAGCTTGGGAGGTATACATTTTTTTTGGAATTAATAATTTTTTTTTTAACTACATGTGTGTGTTACAAGTGCACTCTAATAATATACAAGTCTTTGTTCTGATTTAGTCACATGCTCGTGCATTTATATGGGTGGATGACATGCACCAACATCTGCAAGTGGGTGGTCATGTGGATGAAGAGTTGGAGGATGTAGTTGCTATTATACAAGCTCAACAAAATCGGCAAAATTACATTATCTATGGTTGTTGTTGTTGTCTTACTATAACTATATTCTTTATGTTATTTCTCATTTTGTTGTTGTTGATTATTGTGGCTGTTGATAAATGATGTGATATATTAGTTTAATTTTATTTTGTACTCACTTTATTGTGCATGTTGACAAATGATGTAATATTTATGAAACTAATGTCTGTAATATATACAATTTTATGTAATGTGTAATATATTGAAAGTTTATTTCAGTTCGATATTGAAATAATGCTGTCAAAATAATATGCAACATTAATAGGTTTTAAAATTTAGAATATATTTTATTGGTTTTTATAATAAATTAAGAAGAATTTTTAACAATATATATATATAAATATATTAAATGTTATATTAATTGTATATTAAAATAATGCAATAATTAATTTTTACTTTATATTTAATAAAGTTATAAAAAATGTATTGATTAAAACATTATTTAAAAACACTCTTTACCAAACATATTGAATAATATTTTTTTATTAATTTTGGTTACACTTCAACTTTGCCAAACATGTTTTGTTCTCATAATTTTTAGAACAAAATATATTACCAAACATGTTTTGCCATATTTTTGTTCCAAAATTCTCAAAGCAATTGTAACGCGCCAAACATGTTTTGTTCTCATTTCAGAACACCACGTTACAAAACATTTGCTCAGGTCTAGGCTAGAGCACTACACCACACCACACTACAAACTTCAAACAGACCCTTATTATATTTAATTTAAACTTAAATGATAAATCATAAACAAAAACAGTTAACAAATGGAGCTAAATTATTAATAAAAGTTGATACCTCTTATTGATAAATAATAAGGGGCACAGTGCAAGAGCTAGTAGTAAGTATAATGCTGTAAAAGGCGGAGCTGTCAACATTGCCATATGCTCGTGGGCCCTGATCCGCCGACAAGGTGTGTCCCGTCATGAAAGGGATCGAAAGTAAATAAAATTTCAAGTTTCTTAATTCCAAAAAAAAAAAAAAAAATATTCCTACATAATCTGATGCTTAATCATTACATTAATATTTAAAGTATCTTAATTTCTTCCATACCTTGTCATTACATTGTTAACATATATTGAATTTATTTTCTTGTTCAAATTCAATATTAACACACACATTTGAATATATTTTCATCAAATTATGTGATTGATCATCTTAACTAAAATATAGCATTGTAGCTCTAAAACATCATCAATTCGAAGTTCATACACTTCTTATATCATACACTTTCAACAACAATATTGCAAAATAGACATGGGGCCTACAATATACATCAACCGTCTCAACAGTCACTTGAGACTTGGAGCCATGTTAAAGAAGGCTAGTCCACGCAGCGGTGTATCCTAGTGTAGTAATTTTTGGGCCAGTAAAAAACTGGAAAAACAGTGAACTTGGGGTAAAAAAATATACATTCTCACATTGCTCTAGCAAATTTTGGAGTACTAAATCTCATATTGGAAAAGTAAAATTAAGAGTTAATGTCCATTTTATTATTTATGTACATATATATATATATATGTATATATATATTTGTAGTTGAAGGCTTGAAGCAAATGCCCACATATATATGATATTGATTAAATAAAAATTAAATCGTACCCTACCATGTAGAAGACTAATACTTATTAACATCATTTTTATAGTAGTTGAATGAGAAATGTAAAACTTATATTCTGCATCCAACCGCTATGATAAGTTGATAACAGGAGCTCAATTTTGTAATTATATTTTTTTAAATATTCTTAAAATAACTGTTAAGAATATTAGTATATGTAAAAAAAAAAAAATTTGACAATTCAGATAACCAAAAAGTTCACAATAAGAAATGATGTGATTGTCACGTAATGGTGGTCAACAGTAATGAATGTTCATAATTATCTGTTGTTGTCATTGAAGTCAAGCGCTTAAACCTTTTGTTTATAATTAAAAAAATTTAAAAATGCTATTTAATCTTTTCAGGCCCTTTTCTTGTAATAAGTGTCTCTTTTTTGTATTTAGAATTTAAGAGTATGATTTTTATTTTTATTATTTTTATATTAATAGTAAATGAATTATTACTAAAGATTATTATTATTATTTTCTTTATCTTTAATGAATTCACCGATTTATTTTTTATAATTTTACTGTATAAAGTTAAATTGATAATATTATAAAAAATAATATTTTATTTTTTCAGATGTGACACTATGGGTAATTCGGTAATGTGATTCTCATAATAGGAATTGAAAGAAAAAGGGTGATTAGCCACAACTACTAATAGTAAAAATTAACTCATTAACCACGGAGGTCAATCCGAGGCTTCACCCTTTTAGTCCTTTACCCCCATCCATGACGAGAGGGGGAGGGAGGAGGGTACATACCGGACACAGACGGAGAGAATTGTGTAGAGAGAGAAAGACACAAAAATATATATACATATATATAGAGAGAGAGAGAGTGAAAATTTCGAGGAGAAAGAGAGACGGTGTATGTATCATGTATGTATGTATGTACGTGTCGCCGCGGGTTGAGAGAGAGAGGAGAGAGAGAGTGGGGAAGAACTAGGAGCGGAAGAGAGATAGATGTCTGGTAGTTGTAGTGGGAAATAGGGGGCAAAACTCGGCAACCCCTCCTTTTTTAAAGCTTCTCCGGTCTTCTTCTTGTCGGCAACTTTTCCGGCCACTTTTGCTTTTCTCTCTCACCGGAACCTTCCATTTTCCGGCGTTAATTGGCCGGAAAATAACTGACAGCAAGTTTCAGACCTTGTTGATTCTTTTGACTAATAATATACGAGGCTTTACATCATTTCTCTTCTTTTTTTTTTTTTTTTTTTTTCATGCTATTTTCTCGGAAAATCTCTGCAAAACTCTTCTTTCTCAGCTGAGAAAATATAGCCCAGACCACGGTTTGGTTTTCTGATCTCCATCTATCCATATCCGTGTACTTGAAACTCCGATTTTGGAGATTCGCTTCCTGAGATTGTGTATTGTATTGTATTGTTTTCGCCGGAGACAGCGTTGGAGAGATGAGCAGCGGGTGAGAGATTTCGAACATTTAAGTTTCCGGGGTGAGTCGCGAGGGATATAGTCCCCGGAATCAGTAACTGAAGTTGCCGGCGAACGGCACCGGAGCTACTACGATGACGGCGACCACGAATCCCAGCGAAGGTCAGATTATACTTCCTTTCTCTTTCTACTTTCTCTCTCTGTACGATAGCTTCCGAGACATTGGAAGAATCGGTGGATAGCATAACGAGCCGTTTTTGTCTTTTCCTCTTCTTACCGGTTTTCGGACCAATTAAACCCCGAGTCCTAGCCGAATTTTCTCAGGAAAAATTTTATTTCCTGGAAAATGTGGAAAAATGTAATCTTGTGAATATTGGATGTCGGAGTGAGAGTTAAAAGATTCCAGATTATTTATATAATTTCTTTCCCTTTCATTTTTATCTATTTATTTATTTTATCTCGGCGACCAAACAGAAAACGATTGACACTTGTTGTGTGATCAGGAGTGAGGAGCATAAATCCGGAGCTATGGCAAGCCTGCGCTGGGCCACTGGTGGACTTGCCGGCGGCTGGGACCCACGTCGTCTACTTCCCACAAGGACACAGCGAACAGGTTTGGTTGTCGACTCACACAAATATACACAAACATATATACATTATTTGCTATCATGCGCCGCCGCTACATCTATAGAGGGCAAAGCTAGTTATTTGACAGACTTTGATTGGGGCTTTGGGAGTCCCAAATTCCCAATCCAACGGCTGCAAGGGGGTAAGTTCTCACGGAGAGAGCTCCCTTGAAAGCATTACTCATGCCATAGATTATTACTATCATGCACGGCTACGATGAATTTGCTTAAAATTCACTGCACGGGTGCTGATTATTTATCTAATTCTGTAATTGTCTAGGGTTCTTTCTAGCTTGCGCTATTTTTTTTAAGTAGGTGAAACGAAGAGAAAGTGAAAAAGGAATAAGGATAATCATTTGCCAACTTGCGCCCCTTCTGGTGTGTGTGTTTTTATTTTATTTTTGGATTGCGAAATTACACCTTTGTCCTATGTGGAGTTTTGTTGGTTATGAAAAAATGTGTCTTCAGCTATATGGTAAAATAATTGAGGTATAATAAATCCTAGTGTGTGCTTCTACAGGTTAAGTATAATTATTTTGGATACTAGTTGATGCAATTCAGTATGGTTTTCAAATGGCTTCAAGAGTTTCCACTATTACAATGTGTAGTAGTATCAATGCTCAAATGATGGAAGTCACTTCAGTTTATTACAAAATTGGAAATGAGAACTATAACACAGTTTCCTAATTACCCTTCAAATATATCTATCTATAAAAATTAATTGCTCATCCGGTAGTAAAAGTAGAAGTGGATGATAAAACCCAGAAAAGCAGTATGGTCATTTAGCATTCTGTAAAATTATAGATTATGGACAGATGTAGATTGTTACTTTCTATTGGCAAACTGGTAATCATTGTATTATCCAAACAATACGAGTTCAGACACTGATGATGGCATATAGAGTTTATTTATTATTATTAGACTTTTACAGTATGAGATGTGATGGAATCGATGCATTTCATTATTTGTTGTAATATACATAAAAATGGTGTATCCTATCCTATGATTTTATAGTCATTGAATTTTTGCTGCACTTCCTTTATATTTTAAGCCCATAACACGTGTATATATATATTTGGTAACAAAGAATTAACCCACCCGCTAGCCACTTTGGACTCGTGGAGGTTTTCAAAATCCGGATGCACGCAATTGCCCGCGAACTACATGCATCATTTAAGTCCGTCTCACTTTTGTGAGTGTTGAACCAGCTAGCCCGTGCGGGCTCCCAAAACACGTATACTGACTATACAATTGAAACCAATTTATTTTCCCCGAATTTCTTCTTTGCTAAAATGTTGGTTCTCACTGCATGTGCAAATTTGCCATTTTTCAGGTTGCAGCATCTATGAAGAAGGATGTGGATGCTCAAATACCAAACTACCCAAATCTGCCCTCAAAGCTATTATGCCTTCTGCACAATGTTACGTTGCATGTATGACTGACGTTATCTGGCTTTATTTTCTTTCATGAAACTAGTTTGGTATTTCTTATTTCTTCTAATCAATTAACTTAATTGCATTTGTTTTCTAGGCGGATCCAGAAACAGATGAAGTATATGCTCAGATGACACTCCAACCGGTTCCTTCCGTAAGGGCTTGCTTCAATATGACATTGTCATTTGGCATTTCATAATATCAAATTGACAGGAAAAAAGAAAAAAGAAAACAAAAAGACAGCTAGAAAATTACAGAGAAAAGAACTCCTTTTAGTGTCTTAAACCTGCAGAAGTTTAAATTAAGTCCGCATTTAGAGTTGTGACTGGAACAGAATTTATCTACATGTCGTGCAGTTTGACAAGGAAGCATTGTTGAGGTCAGATCTTTCCATAAAGACAAATAAACCACAAACAGAATTTTTCTGTAAGACTTTGACAGCAAGTGATACAAGCACTCATGGAGGTTTCTCTGTACCTCGGCGTGCTGCAGAAAAGATTTTTCCTGCCCTTGTAAGAAAATTCTCTTATCTATTGAATTTACTTTGTTGATCTTAAAATTACATTTATGTAACTAATATTCTTATTTCTTTTTAGGATTTCTCTATGCAACCCCCTGCTCAGGAACTTGTTGCTAGGGATTTGCATGATAATGTGTGGACCTTTCGTCATATCTATCGTGGTAGGTTCAGTATTATTAGCCAAATTTTGCTCATTATTGCCCCCCCCCCCCCCCCCCCCCCCCGCCCCCCCAAATTTTGCCCCCCCCCCTCCCCCACCTATTTGGAGTACCACGAGGGGCTAGACTACAGCCATTAGTGGTTTGTTAGACACTTTTCCTTAGTACCATTACACTTCTTTGCTATTTTCGGGATATATGATTTGATTTTTTCCTTCATAATACAGGTCAACCAAAACGCCACTTGCTTACAACAGGGTGGAGCCTATTTGTTAGTGGAAAGAGGCTTTTCGCAGGTGACTCAGTCTTATTTATTAGGTAATGGAATTAAGTTCTAAGAGCTTTATGGTTTAGATGGCTTGAGTTTCTGATTAATAGCAATTTTTCTCTCTCGATAAACGCCTGTGGTTTTCCAGTTGAATTCCTTTGCATGAACCTTTGTGTTTCTGATGGTTGTGAGCAGGGATGAAAAGCAGCAGCTTCTCTTGGGTATTAGACGGGCTAACAGGCAGCCTACCAATTTATCATCATCAGTGTTGTCAAGTGATAGTATGCACATAGGGATCCTAGCAGCAGCCGCACATGCAGCTGCTAACAACAGCCCCTTTACTGTCTTTTATAATCCAAGGTTAAATGACTTCCCATTTGTTTGTTATAAAATCATTCTTTTGAATTAATTAGTCTTACACTCTAAATTTCCTAATGAGTATCAGGACATTGTCAAATTGTTTCATTTTGAAAAATTCTGTGAGTGTTCTTTTTTCTGGTACATACAGGGCTAGTCCGTCTGATTTTGTCATTCCTCTTGCCAAGTACTATAAAGCAGTATGCAGCAGTCAGATATCCCTTGGAATGCGCTTTCGAATGATGTTTGAAACTGAAGAATCGGGAACAAGAAGGTAGTTGTAATTGGGTTTTGATCTCCAAAAATGTCATTAATTTACCAGTTTTGGCAACATACGTTAAGAACTAGAATACCGAAGATGTATCCCGACAACTTCAGACTTGACTTCCAGTTGTTTCAAGCTGACAAAATGGTCTTTAGCCTTTAAATTTCTAAGACCCTGTTCCATTTTCCATATGATTGATTAATTTCTTGAAATTTTGATCCATGATTTGGGATTTTGAGAGGATATCTTCCTTCTCAAATCTAGATTAGGATATTTACCTTTCATTTTGGAATCTGGAACTTGAAGCGCTTTTCAAAATGATTAAAGAAGGAAAGCAATTGTTTGGCAGGTATATGGGTACAATCACAGGTATTAGCGATCTTGATTCTGTGAGATGGAAGAATTCTCAGTGGCGAAATTTACAGGTAGAAGTTGTTGCATTGTCTGTCTTATTCTTTTCTATTTTTAAAGACAGACAGACATTGGTAGTAACGCTATTCCTTTTGGATACATGTTACACCCCAAGGCCACATGTATACTCTCCTTTTATTTTTATTTATTTATTGGCTTCTAGATTATTTTTTAGACCATAGTAGGCTTTACCTGTTTACTGACATTATTTACCTCTATGCTATTGAGTAGGTTGGTTGGGATGAGTCAACTGCTGGGGAAAGGCGTAACCGAGTATCAGTCTGGGAGATTGAACCCGTGACAGCCCCATTCTTCATCTGCCCCACCCCCCCGTTCTTCAGATCTAAGCATCCGAGGCAACCAGGAATGCCAGGTCCAAGCCATAATACCACATTCTTTACTTATTACTAACATGGGATTTGAACCTTTTTTTTTTTTTGCTGTAATATTATTAGCTTATTAAGAATACCATAACATGGGTAGAGTTAGTAAGGAAGGACATGAGAGCATGTGGTTTGACCGAGGATATGGCCTTAAATAGAGTGGAATAGAAACATAGGATTCATGTAGTCGACCCCAAGTAGTTGGGAAAAAGGTGGTTGTTGTATAATATTATTAGCTTATTGTTTCTAATGAATAAATAAAATGGGATTTGGTTGCCATTTGGGCATGGTGTGTTAGGACGGTCCCCCTTAGCCTAGGCCTCTTTGGATGTTGACTATATTGGTTCGACTGTTTCTACTGACTGGGCCAATGGAGTTATCCTAAATAATAGTGAATGGCATAGGTGGTCCAATTATTCGTTCAGAAAAGGAACAAAAATGAATGATTCATGACAGTGTTTACAGGTTAGATGCTCCTTTTGTCCTGTGTGGTCAATTTTTGACCTTCGCTGGTATATTGTTGTTGTGGTCCTACAAGTTAGAACCGCCCACTTTTTCAAATGTGCTAAGGTCATTATTGAATGCTTTGATATGGTTCTGCTAGAAAGAAGACCTTTTTCAGCTCAACAATGATTTATTTGAAGACAGAGCTTCAGTAGGAGGATTTCTGACATGTTACTCTTTGCAGATGATGAGTCTTCTGATTTTGAGAGCCTGTTTAAGAGGACAATGCCTTGGCTTGCTGATGATACCCAATCTCTCCCTGGCTTAAGTTTATTCCAATGGATGAACATGCAGCAAAACCCTTCCCTGGGCAACTCAATACAGCCAAACTACTTGCAGTCCTTATCAGGTTCTGTTCTGCATAACCTTGCTGGAGCAGATCTGACGCGTCAGTTAAGCTTGCCAGCATCCCAAATTCCTCAGCAGAACAACTTACAGTTCAATCCCCAGAAGGTCTCTCAGCAAGCTCCTGTTGATCAGCTCCAGAAGCTACCAGCTGCTACATTGAACCCATTAGCTTCAATTACGCAGCCACAACAACAGTTGGCTGATGTTACTCAGCAACCAAAGCAAAATTTGATTAATCAAACCCTACCCTCAACGCAAGCTCAGGTGCAACTTCTGCAGTCACAGACGCTTGCCCAAACTCAAAATATTCTTCAGCAGCCATCTTCTATTCAAAACCTTCAGCTTCACAGAAACCTTCCTGAGAACCTGCTGCATCAGCAACAGCAACAGCAACAGCAACAGCAACATCAACATCAACAAAATAGGGGTCAGAACCAACAGCATAACTTGATGCCATCCCAGCTTCCTGAGCAAGTAAACCAGTTGCAGATGTCTGATAATCAAATTCAGCTTCAACTTTTACAAAAGTTGCAGCAGCAACAGCAAGCCCTTCTAGCACAACAGTCTACGCTGCAACAGCCTCCTCAACTAACACAAGCGCAGGATCAGCAGAGACAGCTGTTAGATGCATCTCAGTGCTTTTCTAAGTCTGCAATGCCCAACCAAATTATGGAAATGCCTGAAGCAACAGCGAACTCACTTCCTCAGTCACACATTTTCACACCGCAGATGACAAAGAATAATTGCCAAACAAATGTTCGGTTATCCTATCCACCACAGCAAATGAAGCTTCAACAGCAACAGCAACCTAGTGTGCTGGCAGAATTGCCTGGGCATGCAGGACACACCTTTTCTCCAAAGACAAATCATCTCTCTGCAGCTGGCAGCAGTTTATTGGCAGGAGCTGGTGGGGGCCAGTCTGGGATCACTGATGACATTCCATCTTGTTCCACGTCACCTTCCACAAACAATTGCCCAAATTCAGGTCAACCAGTCATGAACAGTAGGACACATCGAAGCACGACCATGGGGGAGGAGATGACTCAGTCTTCTGTCACATTTTTGAGTTCCAATGGTATGGAAACCATGTCTTCTAATGCCAACATGGTTAAAGATTTTCAGCAAAAACCTGATATCAAGCCTTTATTGAATATCCCCAAGAGTCAAAACCAAGGATATCTTGCCCCACCAACATACCTAAATGCTGCTGGAGCCCAGATGGATTACTTGGACACTTCATCTTCCGCAACTTCAGTTAGTGTTTCTCATAATGATGTCCATTTGCAGCAGAACAACAACCTAGTGTCTTTTAACCCCCAATCAGTATTGTTTAGGGAAACAAGTCAAGAAGTTCAAGGTGATCCCAGGAACAATGTTCCATATGGGGCAAACATTGATAGCCAGTTGGGTATGCCCATGATTCCGGAGCCTTTGCTCACAAAGGGGATGGTGGATTCAGGGAAGGATTTCTCAAATAATCTCTCTTCAGGACCCTGCATGCTTGCTAACTTTGAAAACCCCAAAGATACTCAGCCAGAACTTTCATCTTCAATGGTTTCGCAGTCATTTGGGGTTCCAGACATGGCTTTCAATTCAATTGATTCCACAATAAACGATAGCAGCTTTTTGAACAGTGGTGCATGGGCTCCACCACCCCAATTTCAGCGAATGCGGACGTATACTAAGGTTTGGCGTTGAAAACATTTCAGCAACTGAAACTATATTATTTCTTCCTATCTTCTTAATTAATTTTGGGTTCTGTGTTTGTGAAGGTGTACAAGCGTGGAGCTGTTGGGAGATCAATTGATATTGCTCGTTATTCAGGTTATGAGGAGCTTAAACAGGATCTAGCTCGTAGGTTTGGTATAGAGGGACAGCTGGAGGACCGACAAAGAGTTGGCTGGAAACTTGTATATGTGGACCATGAGAGCGATGTCCTACTAGTTGGGGATGACCCTTGGGAGTAAGTTCAGAACTTAATCTGCATAATGTTTTCAAAATGTCGTTTCTTTTAATACATTCTCAATACTTTTGAACAAGACAAAATGAAAGACTTGGTTCAAGAGTTGCCTTAGAAATCTGCATATGAAAATCCAACCTTTCCCCCCACCTTTCCCCTTGTTGTAAGGACCAAGGATAAAAAGAAATATATTTACCATTTCTTGATGTGCTATTCGTCTGAGTTTTTTTTTTTGGTTTTTATTTTATTTTATTCCCTTGAGATGCCCATTTGAAACAAATTAGCTATCTCTAGGTCAGACATGTATTTGAATACTTTATTGATTGTTTTTTCTTGATTTGCTTGTACCTTGAAAATTCTATTAACTAAATATAAAAAGAAAAGAAAAATCGTGGACAAGGAACTTCCTTGTGTGTCCATCTGACATGCAGAGTAATTTTGCAGTAAATTACTCTTATTGTCGCAAATAATTTCCTTCTGTTTCTAATTAGCCTAGGGTTGTGTGTGCTTGATTTAATTTGCCAAGAACTAAGCTTAATATTCTCATCTCAGCCTTTTCTGCCATTGGTATATCTTACATTGTACATCATTTTCAGAAGATATAAATAGTAATTTGTAGGTTCTGAAACTTTCGGGTCCACTGTTCAATAGTATATCTCAGGTACCAAAAACAAAGAGAGAAAAAAGAAAAAAGAAAAGAATAGCCTTGCACCCGTGGCATTTCGAGGTGTCTGTCATTTGAAAAGGGCATAGCAAAACAATTTGTGAGTTGCTTATGATATTATGAACATTTCCTGAAATTCAAATCAGTCCAATATCCAGAGTGACAACTTATGCTTCACTTCTATGCATGGTTTTTCCCTGTTCACATTGGGACTCAAGTATTTTCCTGTAAATCTGAGTCATTGTGGAATTGTCTACCTATGCTGTTTTTTTTTAACCTTTCCACAGTATTTTTTTCCTTCTCTTGAATAATTTCCTGCTCTCAAATTATTAGTCAAAATAATTAATCTATGTCAATTGACATGTTTAGTCTGGTGATTTGGTGCCTTTCAGGGAGTTTGTGAATTGTGTCCGTTGCATCAAGATACTTTCACCTCAAGAAGTCCAGCAGATGAGCTTGGATGGAGATTTTGGGAACAGTGTCCTTCCAAACCAAGCTTGCAGCAGCTCTGATGGAGGAAATGTGTAAATTAGCGGACGAATTTTAGCTATGTTATCCCAAGTTAGAAGCTTATTGATATTTATTACTATAAATCTGTATTTTGCTCCCGATCTGCCGGACAATTAGCCACTGCTAGCCTGGATTTTTCTGTTTAAAATGCAAAATGGCAAGCTTATATCTGGATGAGTGTGTAAGAAGTGATCTTTTGGCGGTTGAAGCTTGTTCAAAATTTCTGAAGTGCCTTGAAAGTAAAGCAGAAGGTGAGAGAAGTGGAGGAAATGAGAAGCTTCATCGCTGCTTGTTAGATTAACACGCGGATTAGTCCAAGTATGGAAGGGAGTTACAATCCCTCTGTTCGGAGAAGAACCCAGTCCGGCAGTATGTTGGAGCTTTCCTGTATGATATGCTTGTTGGGAGATCAGTCGACGTTTTTTTTCCCTGCTGTTTATTGAAATTCTCTCAGGTGAATTGTACGTAGAGAGTAAAAGCTCGAAATTTGTATGGCTTAGCTTAGATTGTATAGGTCTTCTAGCCCTCGAATGAAATTGGCTATAATGAATTTCTGGAATTCTGTGTTGATAGATGGTTAGACTTTGAGATCGTTTGGTTGGCCTGAAAGCCTTTTTTTGTATGGCTTAGCTTAGATTGTATCGGTCGAGCCCAATGATTTGTTCGGTTGGAAGGAAGATGGGCAGAACATAAGAAGGAAGGAACAAATTTTCATTGTTCGGTAGAGATGAAACAATAAAATAATGGATAATAGGAGGGATGTCATTTTTTACAAATTTTAATTCAAAAATGGAGGGAAGAAAAGTGGACAATTATAGAAGTTTTAAATTAAATATTAGGGTGAAGTGCATAAAATTTCCTTGAAATATATCCGAATTTGCAAATAACCCTGAAGTATATTTTGTGCATAATGCCTTTTTTTATTTTATTGAATTGCACTTAATCTATTTGTTTTATTGAAATAAATTCATACTAATTTGATAACATAGTTTTCTTTAAATTTGCATAAGTTTACCTTTAATTTTGAAAATTAGTTATTTAAATAAAAATCTTAAGTAAATTTTTTTAAAAAAACAATTTAAGTAATTTCTTATTTTTTCTTGAATATATTGCATTAAAAATAAAGTATATTTTTTTTTATTGAAGTAATTAATCAATTTTTCATAAATTTATTGTATGAAAAAAGAGAAATATATATATTTTTTACTATAATACTATCTTAAAGTACACAAGTTTTATCATGTATGAATTACAATATTATATATATTACTGAACAGAGTGATAAAAAAATAATTTAAACCTTATCTTTCATTCTCTCGAACATAATAAATTTTGAGATTATTATATTTTTTTTTATCCAACCAAATAAAAAGAAAGAAAGACGTAATCACTTCTTTAGGATGTTTCATTCATCCATTTTTCTTTTCATTCCATCCAATTTTTTTCTTTCCAACCAAATGGAGTATAATGGTTCAAACATATTTTGGATAATAAGTGTGTAAAAAAAAAAAAAAAAATTTCAGCTTCTAATTTTTTTTTTAATACAATGGAAACTTTTATTTATTATTATTATTTTGGCTGCTTGAGAATGAGGAAAAGTAGAAATGATGGCGAACTTCCCATTTTGACGAAGTTTTTCTTTTTGGTCCTGCTCTGCGTGAGAGAGAATATCTTTATATAAAGAAATCATTTTTCCTTTTGTCTTTTGTCACTAAATTCGCAATTTATTTATTTAGTTTCATTTCTTCCTTTTTGTCATACAACTTTCACAATAATCTTGAGGAGACTCAAATTACTTACATATTTAAAAAATTATTAGTTCTAATTTAGAAAGTAGTCACTCACTGGTGAGACCTAATTTCTTGTTTGTTTCTATATAAAATATTTTTAATTTTTATGTTTGGTTGTCAAACATTTAAGTAAAATACTAACGAAATAAATTTTTTTTATTTAACTCTAACAAAAATAATTTAATCATTAATTTTTGACAAATTATTTTGTACCACCATGATCTAAACTTTTACCAAGCATCGAAAATCAAAAAATATTTTTTTTTCCTTCAAAACAAAAAGAGCCATAAAAGATTCAGTTATTCTTTGAATGTCAAGAGCATAAAAGTGGTGATATTTCATATCAGTATGAAATGATAGGTTGAGATTAACGTATACATGTAACAGGATACTAAACCCTGAACACCCTTCACAGTCCCCACACGAAAAAACAAATACAGTAATAAAATAATATTTTTTTGGGAAAAACCGACGACCTGGATTGTCAAATAAATAAATATTTTGGATTTGTTTTCTTTTTTTCTTTTACGGTTCTAACAGCCTTGCTCATTTTGGGCCCATGATTAATAGTATGTAACAGACTAATAAATTGGTGCAGGCCCAAATTTCTCATCGTATTGGCAACCCCGTCCTGAAGCCCATTCTTGAAAATGGTCCAATTGGGATATTTGAAACTTGATGGAGTGAATGATAAAATGATTTTCAGGATTCAGACAATTAGGGTTTTTCGGGGTTTCATCAACACTGCACCGTTTCTTCGCCACCAACGGTAAGCCAGAAAACTGTACACATATTTAACCACGATTTATCATTCTCACACACACATATACGTATACACATATATATTTATGCTTTATGTTATTTGGTCACAAAACCTAATTGGTAAGAGTTCAAGAAGTTGAATTGTTAGCCATTGCTGATACACACTCTAACATAGAATTAGGTTTTATCGTAAGTGTTTAATTATCTGTTCTTCAGCATGAAAATGAGCGACTTGTGCTATTTTTTGCACATTGTATTTGAAGTTGTGTTGGAATTGTAGGTTGAATATTTGAAACTGTTACTGTTCTTACACTAAGGATGATTATTAGGTTTTACGAAGTTGAATGCCTTATAGTTTCCTATTTTAGGGTTAAACTACATTGAAGTGAAGTTGGGAATCAAGGTCTAAGGCTAAAACCTTAGTAAATGGAGCTGTCTCCGACGCTTGGGAAACGAAAACTACCTGAAGAAAATTCGGAGGTTTCAGAGGCCTCCAAGCAAGAGATTCCCTCGAAGCGGCGCAATTTGGCACGGACATGTGTGCACGAGGTTGCTGTTCCGAGTGGGTATACTTCCAGTAAAGATGAGTCCATTCATGGGACACTTTCGAATCCTGTTTATAATGGTGAGATGGCAAAAACCTATCTGTTTAATCTCGATCCATTTCAGCAAGTTTCGGTGGCATGTTTGGAACGAAATGAGTCGGTTTTGGTTTCTGCTCATACATCGGCGGGCAAGACCGCTGTTGCTGAGTATGCAATTGCGATGGCTTTTAGAGATAAGCAAAGAGTTATATATACTTCGCCGTTGAAAGCTTTGAGCAATCAGAAGTACAGAGAGCTAAGCCAGGAGTTCTCTGATGTTGGATTGATGACTGGTGATGTTACCCTCTCACCAAACGCAAGTTGTCTGGTCATGACAACGGAGATTCTTAGGGGAATGCTTTACAGAGGTTCTGAGGTATTAAAAGAAGTTTCTTGGGTTATATTTGACGAAATACATTATATGAAGGATCGAGAAAGAGGGGTTGTTTGGGAGGAGAGTATTATATTCTTGCCACCAGCTATAAAGATGATTTTCCTTTCGGCCACAATGTCGAATGCTACTGAGTTTGCAGAATGGATATGTAATTTGCATAAACAACCATGTCACGTGGTGTACACAGATTTTCGACCAACTCCCTTACAGCATTATGTGTTTCCTATGGGTGGATTGGGATTGTATCTTGTTGTGGATGAGAACGAACAGTTTAGGGAGGATAATTTCGTAAAACTGCAGGATACTTTCTCGAAGCAGAAGCAGGGTGATGGAAACAAGAGTGCGAACGCCAAACCGAGTGGCAGAATCGCAAAAGGTGGGACTGCTTCTGGAGGTTCTGACATATACAAAATTGTCAAGGTGTGCAATCTATTATTATTGAATGCTGTGCTTGGTTTAGTTAGTATTCATTATTTTCCTCTAGTTATTATGCTATCAAATTTGACTTCTAGGGCATAATATTTTTAAGTTTTATTCTATGCATTTATTAGTATTTGTTCACTGGTCCATTTTTATCTTTGTGTGTTTTACAACTAGCACACCGAGGCTGTTATTTTATAGCATAAATTATTTCTTAGTGCTTAAATTAAAAGTTATCCCAAATTTCAGATGATTATGGAACGAAAATTTCAACCAGTTATAATATTCAGCTTCAGTAGAAGAGAGTGCGAACAACATGCAATGTCCATGTCCAAACTTGATTTTAATACAAAGGAGGAAAAAGATGTTGTGGAGCAGGTTTTCCAGAATGCAATTCTCTGCTTAAATGAGGAAGACAGAAACTTGCCTGCTATTGAACTGATGTTGCCACTGCTTCAGCGAGGCATTGCTGTTCATCATTCTGGACTTCTTCCTATTATCAAGGAATTGGTAGAACTTCTCTTCCAAGAAGGTCTTGTAAAGGCCCTTTTTGCAACAGAGACGGTAAGATTATTTTCTAACAGTATGTTTCTTCATGTATTGGTTTTTGAAACTTCAGCTCATTAGCAGCATATTTTATTTTATTGAATATTATATTGCATTTGTGACAATGTGCCTTTATTTCAATGCATGGCAGTTTGCTATGGGGTTAAACATGCCTGCAAAAACAGTTGTTTTTACTAGTGTCAAGAAGTGGGACGGTGACAGTCATCGTTACATTGGATCTGGTGAGTATATACAGGTGGGTGAAAATCATATAATATCACTAAAATGGTTCATGCCCTGGTTTTTTTTTTTTTTTTTTTTGATTGTTAATTTTGTTGTTTGGATTTTTATAGATGAGTGGAAGAGCTGGGCGTCGCGGGAAAGATGAGCGTGGTATTTGTATTATAATGATTGATGAGCAGGTACTTTTATGGCTAGTAATCTGTCTGTATTTCATCGTTGTGTATCAATCCCACTGTTCAATCTTAACTTTTAACTACATTGCACTTATACAAGAAGCATTTGAGGCTCCTTCTTCTTCTTCTTCTTAAAGAAAAAATATACATGATTTGCAACATATCTTTTGTCACTCTTCCAAGATGTTTTTAAAACATAGACAGGTATTGGGACGACAATACCGAATGCAGAGGTAAGGTTCGCATATAACCCTCCCCAGACCCTGCAATGGCGGGACCCTCGTGCACTTGGTTTGCCCTTTGCCCTATTAATTAATTAATGTTTTGCTTCATTTTCAGATGGAGATGAATACCCTCAAGGACATGGTATTGGGTAAACCAGCTCCACTGGTCAGTACTTTCAGACTGAGCTACTACTCCATTTTGAATTTAATGAGCCGCGCTGAAGGCCAATTCACTGCTGAGCATGTTATCAAGAATTCCTTTCACCAATTTCAGTATGAAAAGGTTTCCTCTGGATACTATCTTAGATCTATATTAGTACACTGTATATAACAATTAGCAATACTTGATTTCTCCCTTCTTCAGGCTTTACCTGATATAGGGAAAAAGGTCTCAAAGCTAGAGGAGGAGGTTGCCATGCTTGATGCCTCAGGGGAGGTAATCTTTGTCCCCACCTTTTTTTTTTTTTTTTTTTTTTCTCTCACAAGTGTATTCATTCAATTTGCATTCTATCCTTTATTATCTTGTGTTTTTATTTTTCTTTTGTGAGATGTCTTTTGTTTTTGTTTGTAGGCCGAAGTTGCTGAATATCATAAGCTAAAGCTTGATATTGTCCAGCTTGAGAAGAAGATGATGGCAGAAATGACAAGGCCTGAAAGAGTGCTTTATTTTCTTCTACCCGGAAGGCTGGTATGTGCTGAGAATTTTCAGTCTAATTAGCAACTTAGAATCATATCACAAACTAAATAAATAATCCTGCTTAGATTTTATTTGGTACTAGTACTACATTCGATTTCAACATCTACCTTGTTATCCAGTCTCTATCTATGTCCTCTTTTTTTAATGGCATAAGAATTTCACTTGCATATCTGTCCGACGAGCACCTCACTACTTTCCAGAGTAAAACTGATGTTTTGTTGTATTCATCAATTTTTTTGCTTCTCGCTCCTTCAAATCCATATGTTGATTGATCATCAATTTTGTAAAATATTTTTTGATACTTTGATTTGGTCTCTACATGCGCCTGCCATATGCAAGATTACCTTTGTCTCTAGGAATTTTTTCCCCTTAAATCCTAGTTTATTTCCGTTTCTTTCCCGTTCTGCCTTAGTTATTTTTAGAAATTCACCTTCATTTTCTTTTCTTCCTCTTTTTCCATTTCTTTTATACATATTTTGTGTGTGTGTGTGGAAATTGGTAATGATAGAACTGGAATTGTTGGTTCTGCTGCTTCTAGTTTGATTCCTTGAAACTACTCCTCATATTGCAGGTTAAGGTACGGGAAGGCGGAACAGATTGGGGTTGGGGAGTGGTAGTCAATGTGGTAAAAAAGCCCCCGGCAGCATTAGGTAGTTTGCCCCCTGCACTGTCATCTTCACGTGGTAGCAGCTATATAGTTGACACTTTGCTTCATTGCTCTCTTGGTTCAAGTGAAAATGGTTCTCGACCAAAACCATGTCCACCTCGTCCTGGAGAAAAGGGTGAAATGCACGTGGTGAGTTGACACTCCTGCAAGGAGACAATTTATGTAACGGTCAGTTCGTTTTGCTTATTGGCAAGTTAGTTCACTTAGGAGCTTTGCTTGAATGTTTGAATGATGACATGTGAGAATGATATATGTTGATTCCATTTCTTAGGTTCCTGTTCAGCTGCCTTTAATTGCTGCTCTTAGCAAACTCAGAATATCTGTTCCCTCTGATCTCCGGCCGGTGGAAGCAAGGCAAAGTATCCTTATTGCAGTACAGGAGCTTGGGAAACGGTTCCCTCAAGGCCTTCCAAAGCTTAATCCTGTCAAGGTATGTGTGGATTTAGATATCTTTCTGCATTATTTAACAATTTAATTTCATATGCTCGCAGTTAATTAAATATACTTGGAAAACATTGCTGATCGCTGGATCATTGGTATGGGAACGAGGGATTTGCTGTTTAATTTTGCACAGTATCTCCATATTTGGTTTGTACCTTAATGGTGATAGTTATCTTTGGACATGTAAAGTTTTATTCGCACATTGTCCAAGTGTTTGATCTAGGGTGCGTCTGGATAGCCCATGCAAGCTGAGTGGCTTCCGGGTGTCTGGTAGTTGAAGATGAAAGTCCGTGGTCCAACTTAGGGTCATGAAGAAATTGAAGTGAGTGCAAGGTTGATTGCATGATGTCGGACTAAGTTTTTCTCGCAATTCATTATCTCAATCTTTTTCCATACTTCATTATGATATTTGGCATTGTGTGCTGCCCCATTCATGAGGTGACAGAGCCTTGTTTCTGATTATGACCACATTCGTTCTTGCTGTTTTGGTCATTCCATTGTTCTTTCGGAACCTTCTAAATATGCCTGCTTTCAGGGGCGGAGCTAGGATTGCAAAGTGAGGGGGGCTAAAGATATAAAAATTTAAAGATGAACACAATAATTTTTATGACAGATATGTTATATATATTCAAAAATAGCAAAAAAATAAAAAATAAAAAATAAAAAAATAAGTGATGGGCTTGTAGCTTTGGTTACCTAAAAGAGCTATTTGAATGGAATGAATATTCTCTTATAAGATAAGTGAGATTTCGTCAGCCTGGTACTTCTTTCTTTTGTTCGGAGAGTTGCTCATTGCTGGGCCGGGCCATTTGCTAATTTTGTTTTATTATGGCACGGGCACGGGCACGGGCACGGGCATGGGCACGGGCACGGGCATGGGCATGGGCATGGGCTGGGCTATGACTGATTGGGTTGGGCTATGGCTGATAGGAAGTAGTAGTACTATTTTTTTTTTTTTTGGACCTGGGCTATAGCCCAGGTTAGCCCACACTAAGTTATGCCCCTGCCTGCTATAGAGCACATTTCTCAATACTTCATCACATTTCTTTATGATAGTATAGATATTTTTGTTGCCTTCGAAAATTCTCCTTTTATATGTCCCATATAATATTTTTCACTGAAATATTTATTTTTTTGTATTATGCTTTCAGAATATTCTACCCTGGGATATAATTTGTAGCGAAATTTATTTTTGGGAAATAAGAAATTAAACTGGTGTTAATATTTTTCTAAGCATTTATACTTTTTGGCAGGACATGGGCATTGGAGAGCCGGAATACGTTGAGTTGGTCAATCAAATTGGGGAACTTGAGCAGAAACTGGTAGCGCACCCGCTGCACAAGGTTTGGCAAAATATCAGTTGCTCATTATTTCAAATATATTTCTGAATGCAGGTAGGATTCAAATATATAATCCTAGAAAATCTTCCAAATGTGCAGTTTTCTGAGCTGTTCCCCTTTTACAATTGTTTTTGACTTTGTACAGTCTCAAGATGACCATCAGATTAGATGTTTCCAGAGGAAAGCGGAGGTGAATCATGAAATTCAACAGCTAAAATCAAAACTGCGTGATTCCCAGGTATATATATTTGGCTACTGATCCCTTCACTAGAAATTCGTTATGCCTAAATGATTGGTTTAAATATATACTCATATGAGATGAATAGTCAACATCATACTGCCTGTATTACCTATTTTTTGATGTCCTATTAATTTTGGAATCTATATCCATGAAATCTGTAGTGTAAAATCTGATTGATCTGATTATGCAGTCACATGATGTGCATGTATGATTTTCTTTGCATATTCAAATCACTGTTATGAGTTGGACGAATTTAATTATCTGCTTGGATTCACCTCTTGGCACCAGTAGTTTCCAAAGTTGATCCAACTGAAAGTGGGTGGAATTGTTTTGGCTTAGATGACGCACTGCAATGTAGATTCTCAAGAATTCCTGATTATTCTAACTGTTTGATAAGTGTTACTTTTAACTAAGGGCCATTGCTTGGTGCAATAGAAAAAGCTTAGGCTAACTAGCACTAGCATGCAGTTTGAGTTTAAGGGCAGCCACTCTGTATAAAAGTAATACCAAAAGTTATATACGTCTCCACTCTCCTGTATGAGCAGCCTGCATAGGTGGGAGCAACAAAGCTAATGGCCTTCATTTGCTATTAACTGATCCTGTGTGCATCCTTATAAATGCATTTATAACTGCTGCAATTTCTATAATGCTCCCAAGTGCTGGATGTTGTGAAGTAATATTTACTCGGTGTGTCCGAGGTTGAACCACAGGGAAAAAGGTGCTAATGAGCAATAATGTATATGGTGAAAGTGAAGAAAATTTACTAAAAAGGTCTTTGAAATTTGGAGGTCTGATCACAGAGAATTAATTCGAGTAGAAATAATATTTTGTAAACACTAAGGCTTCAGATATCCGGACAAGAAATCCATACTTGCTAACAATTCTGTTTTATAACTCAATTGAGATTCATACGAAGGCTGATCCCAACTGGATGATATTGTTTCATTAAAAGTAAGTCTCAAAATGTGAATTCATAAAATTGATTGATTCTTCACTTTTGACAAAAGTAGTATTTTGATGTGCTTCTAAGCATTCACTGTCCTTGGATTTAATGATAAATCATTGAATTGTACAGGACAAAAACTTTTCTAAATAATAGAATCAATCCAAAACTATGAAAGCTTACATCAAAAACCATAGATAATCGTTTAGCAAACACCAAGAAATTGTCGTGGCTTCACTCCTTGGCCTTAGCAAAGACTCTCGCTACCCATAATAGAAACTCTAAAAGTTCTGAAGAAGAAGAAGAGAGAGTTAATAAAAATCTTAGCTGCCGCCTTTCCCTTATATCTATATGTTTTTAGGGTTTCTCCTAGAAGAAGTAAAAAGGAAATTGTAAAAGAGGAAATCTGCAAAAATCCCACTAGACGTGCTACTCCCAAAATCTTTGTGAAATACAAAGTTGAAAAAATTTTGGTCTTCTTTCCACAGCCACAGATTTTGCGGCAATCTGATATCAGAGTCAAAGGATAGAGCCAAAATACCATGACAGTCTCAAATATTTCCTTCCAAGTTTCTTTCTTAATTTGAGGATGCAAGTTTTCTTTCTTCAATTTACAGTCCCAAATGTTTTTTTTTTTTTTTTTTTACCTTTTAAACTCTTCTAGAATTCTCCTGGACTGAACTTTGCCCTTGGATTCTCTTGGATGCTTGATCTCCACACGATTTACTGGTTAGTTTTAAACTTCCTACAAAAGAAAGTATGTGCAATGAGTCTTGGTACAAAAATTGTATATTTTTTTTGATAAAAAAAAAAAAAAAAATTGTATATGATGGATGATAAAACTAATATTTCCACGCATTAATGCACCATTTTAATCATGAAATTCTGCACTATTGGAGAAAAGGGATTTCACATATTTAAGTGTAAAATGTGAAAATAAATGCAACATAATGCCCTATTAAAACTATGACAATAATGCAACTTTAAGCAATTATCAATAACTTTTTTCTTTTTTTTTTAGTTCTTATCCTTTTGCATCTCCATTTTTTTGCTGTTTCTTCTTTTATCTGCAGGAATATTAAAAAAAAAAATAGCGTTTTGTTGCGCTGTTGGATTGTTAATATTATCTGTTGTTTCTCTAGTTACTGAAGTATTAATCGTGAATTGTTGATAACTTCAAGTTCCTCCCAAATGTGGTACAGTAGGAAATGCAATGTGCTATTTTCAGCTTGTTTTGTGTTTTTATTATTGTTTTTGAATTTTTACAGCTTCAGAAATTTCCTGAAGCATTTGCACCTTTTTGTTGATTTTGCAGCTTCAAAAATTTCGTGATGAACTTAGGAACCGTTCACGTGTTCTGAAAAAGCTTGGCCACATTGATTCTGATGGTGTTGTCCAGTTAAAGGGACGAGCAGCCTGCTTGATAGACACAGGAGATGAACTCCTTGTTACTGAGTTGATGTTCAACGGTGAATTTTTTTATTAAACTGTTCCTCAAACTTTTTGGGTCTGCATAATCATCTTAGGTCAACTAAGGCTTAATTTTACTCAGGCAGCTCATACAGGGGCTGGGAATCATCCGTATAACTAAATGTCATAAGATAATACAATCAATGCTTGGTGAGGGCCAACGTTGACACATAAATAGTTTGCTGTGCAAATGTCCATACCCATGTTGATAAAATTTGAACAAATATAAAAGTTAATACATCACATGCTATTCTGCTGATATTTTTATATAAAGTGTATAAAGAGTGCGTTGGTAAATACTTGCTCCATCATTAGAGCTATAAACTGTAAATACTATATTTAAACAAGTTAAACCTGTATAGAATAATCATTCTTGCTAGAGTGGACTTCAATAAGCATGTGTGCTTTCCTTAGCTGGAAGCTTATAAAGCCTGTCTTTTTCACACACATCCTGACCTGTTGAAATCTCTAGTAGCCTCAAAACTCCGGTTGGACAGGAGGCTGACCTTTGGCACCTCCATCTAGTGTTGGTTATGAGATGCAGACATGAGACATGGGTATGACATGATATGTAGTGTTACAACAAATCTCAAAAACTAGAGCACAAACACGGCCAGGATCCGTCAATAAAATTTTAATATAATATACTTATATATTCAAAAAATTGATTTCTGCTTGTTTTATCCACATTATCATGAATGTAATCACCTAATTTGGGGCATGGAGCTGAATGGGTGTTGTTTTTGTTTTCTAGAATTTTATAGTATTTAACTATCAACCCATTATTTATTTTAAAATTGCATTGGCACCCCTTTTTAATAAAAATAATTGCAAAACTACAACGTCGTGTCCTGAAATGCCTCAAATGCGTTCTTAATGTGCTTCCGTCATGTCCGTGTCTTGGCCAATTAGAGAAAACAAAATTTTAAACTCCAGGGCACTCATACTCATGTCTCATGCATGCTCGTGTTGAACACGTTTCCGACAACGCCACGACTCCCTCTGGTGGAGTGTCCATACTTCCTAGGTGTTGGGTTACGATTGGTTCAATTTCTGAATGATTTTGTGATTAGGCACGTTCAACGACCTTGATCATCATCAAATTGCGGCTCTTGCAAGTTGCTTCATTCCAGGAGACAAATCAAATGAGCAAATACATTTGAGAGCAGAACTTGCTAGACCATTACAACAGCTCCAAGATAGTGCAAGAAGAATAGCAGAGGTTTGTTACATTTTAGCTCCGTATGTTCGTTATTGCAGAACACCCATGAGGAAAAGTTATAAAGATTCCCATATTATTGCAGATACAACATGAATGCAAGTTGGAAGTAAATGTGGATGAGTATGTGGAGGCAGCAGTTAGACCATCCCTGATGGATGTCATATACTGTTGGTCAAAGGTTAGTTTGGTACTTTTACTGCTAACTTAATAATGATTTGTTCGAAGTTTTTGTTCCAAGTCATTCTCTTTTGGAGGACGACACTCGGTGATATTTATTTTTTCAATTTTTCCTTTAAAATTTATCTTTTAACACATTGGTTAATATAACTTTCTGTTAGTCAAAAGTATCAAAATGGTTGATCCTTTAGGGTAACATCCTTCATATGAATTCAAAGTAAAATGTTCAATTATATATCGAATTGTCAAAATGGTCATCATAAAGCATATCTGACTCTTCCATTTATTGCTGCTATTCTCTTAATAGTAATGGCAATACTGCTTGCTGCCTCTCTCTCTCTACACACACATATAAATATACATGTATATATATAGAGAGAGAGAGAGACAGAGACACAGGCTGCCAGCAGTAAAATTGGAATGATTGTAAAAAATTTCTCTCGTTTGGTATGAGAAAGAGAAGAAAAGGAAAGGAAGAGATATTTATAGTTTTCTTTTATTTGGGTAAGTGAGAATGTAGGGATTTTAGAAAATTTTCCTTTGTCTCTCATTCCATAACGCTGCACTAAGAAAGACCATCAACGGGGCTTGAACCCTGAACCTTGAACCAGGAACCCTCTTGGATGCCACTTGGGCTACAAGGTGTGGTGAACTTCTTTGTTTTTTTTTTAATTATTTAATTTTGTTTTATTTTTCATAAATCAGGGTGTCAGAAATGATTGGAATATGACAAGGACCAATACTGCATCAGAATCTCTGTGGAAACCAGCAATAATTAGTGTTTTAATATCTTTTTCATGGTCATTTTATCCATAAACGCCGCCCAAAAATAAATTGAGGACGTGAGTATCTAATGAGTGTATCTTGATGATGTTCTGTTTTTCGATTGGTGTGAATAAAACTTGAAAACTGGATTAATCTTATTACGCTTGAGGGATCTAATAAGGGTAGAGGCCCTAATCCTTTCATACAGTCAGTGGTTTAGTGTGTGTCCACCCCCATTCTGAGTACCACAGGCAGCCAATATTCAGTTATCTTCTGTCTCTCCTGTCTCTCCATTTTTAACTTAATGTTTAAGTCATCTGTAATAATAACCCGATGCTTAGGTAGCTTGATAAGTAGGTTAAGTTGTGAATACTTTTCATATTATGTCCCCAGATAACCTGTAATTAACTGAACAGGTTGGGGTTATCAAATATGAGGTAGGTAGATGGATTCAAATTCTTTATGTTTGCTGCCCACCCCCCACCCCCCCCTCCCCCCCCCACTCCTCTCTCATGTGTTATAAAATTGAGGCATCCTGTTTCATCTGCCCCAGGGAGCATCTTTTGCGGAGGTTGTTCAGATGACTGATATTTTTGAAGGGAGTATTATACGGCTAGCCAGAAGGCTTGATGAGTTTCTGAACCAGGTTGGTTGATCAAATCTCAGGAATTTTTTGTCCCTTGTTCTCTCTTTCATTCTCTTGTTCTTCCGCCAAATATTAAGAGAATGCATTGACAAATTGTTCCATGCATACTACTCGTGGTTGTGAAAAGTTCCTTCTTTGGCCTCCTCTTTGAAGATGAGGGCTGCTATTTTTCAGGACCTGATTATGGCTTGTAGGAGCTGCTTGCCAACCCAAATTTTATCAAGTCACTAAAAAAAATATTCTATAAACATTGACGAGATACCTCTATTTGTTCATCAGAACTCTGGTGGACCTTCTACCTGAATATGAAATGCTTGAAAAACAAATATATATCATTAAGGTCATTCCCTGGATGTATTTTTTGGCTTTTGCAGCTGCGTGCAGCTGCTAGTGCTGTTGGAGAAGCTGGTTTGGAGAACAAATTTGCCGCCGGCAGCGAAAGTCTCCGCCGAGGTATTATGTTTGCCAATTCCCTGTACCTATGAAGTGTATTCTGGAGGATCGTGATGTATGTAATTCTGCCATCGGAGTAGTCATTTGTCATTGCAAATTCAGGTCAGCATCTTAGATATGTTTAATGTGATGAGCTAATATAGTTTTTCTTCTTCTTTTTTTTTTTTTTTTTTTTTTTTTTTACGTTTTCTGATAGTATAATTTTTTTAAAGCAGTGTAGCTGTTGGAATTTATCTTTTTTGATTGTTGATCCGTTCTTGTATGAGTGCAAAAAACATTGTGGGAAAAAGAAAAAAAAGGAGAGAAATGAAAGAATCATGGACTTTCCACAAAGTAATATAACTTTTTTATTCTTTTTTTTTTGTCATTGACCATTAATGCGATACAAGTCCTCAATGTGGTTTTTTCCAGTTATATTTATATATTAACCATAAAGTTGAGATATATTGATGTAATTGGCTTGAGGAAACATGGTGGTCCCAGTTCCCTCATAGACACTCTGCAACTTCCTAGTTGATCCGGACCATGTAGACTTGAACTTTCCACCTTTCCTTTTGAATACTAGACCACATGCCTTGATGGTCATGTCATTTTGTGGTTAAGATAAGGGATGAACATTATTTACTTAAATCTAGATATTTGGATTGCCCTATTATCCTTTACATTATTTTTCTAAATGTACACATTTGAAACTAGTGTATGAAAATAGCAACGTACCATTTGATCCTTGTTTCTTTGAATCTTGATATCTGCACTGCCCAATATGATAAATACTCATGTAGACATCATGGTAGAATAGAAAATATTTGCCAGAGGTTGATGGGGGTAGGTGCTCATTTTTTTTTTGAAAATAGGGTAGGTGCTCATTGTTAGTGAGTCGTTTTTGTATTGCGATCCTCGTCTTTTTAAAAATGAAAACAAGTAAAATTTGCTTTATTATAGAAGAAGTAAAATTTGGTCAACAAGTCTGCCGGAAAGAAATGTCGTCGTTGAGAACAAGCATCAAATTTTAGGGGAGATCAAAATAATAAATACTAAATTGTTTACCATTGTGTAATTTGTCCATACTTCAGAAGAGATTAGTGTAACTAGGGGAGGCAATTGGGTGGGGTTTGGGCGGGTCAGTATCCCATTGCTAGTCCATTTATGACGAGTCATAAACGGGTTGGGTATTAAGAAGGCGAGTCAACCCACACTCAACCCGATGGCTCGAATATTTTTAGACACAAATTGTCAAAATAAAAAGAGGAATAAAAAGTGTTGTTTTAGAAGAAGCTTTGATTAATTTGTGGTAAGAGTTTTAACTAGCTAGTGGTCATTTATGAGCATGAATTGAATTTTCAGTTTTTTTGTACTGTGTAAAGTACAATTTGAAGGACAGTAGGCGGAGAGAGAGTTAACACAGCGTAAAAAGAAGATAATAAGAGAAACAGAAAGAGAGAATACGGAGGGGAGAGAGAAAAGAGAGAGGGAGTAGAGGGAAAAGGAAGAGAGAGAAGAAAGAAAGAGAGTGTGAAAATAGAGAGGGAAAGTAGAGAGATACACAGAGAGAGAGACGGAGGGGAGTGAAAATACAGAGGGAAAGTAGAGAGAGTGAATATTTTGGATGGTAGCAGCGAAGCTTTTCTTTTCTGTGTTTTTTTTTTGGGAAAAAATCATGTCTGGTGGATTGGGATTGGCTAGCCACTCTCAATCCGCTAAATATATTATGTTTAAATGATTGATCTGCTAGCGACTAGCTCAACTAAATTACTCACTCAATAGTCATTAATTATATGGTATGTTTGAGCTAATTATTGGGTTTGGGTATATTTCGTCCTTCCTAAATTTAGCCTAGCAAGAAATTAAGACACAGTAATTGCTCTTATAGGGATTTGTACCAAGGCGAGGAAAATTATAATCATTGTTGTAAACATTGATATTTTTAAAGAGCGAGCAAGGCCTCAGCACTTTTAAGACAAATATGGCCCCAACACTTTTTAAGGACAATAAGATATTAATGAAAAGCTTTGGCTAGAATGCAATCATATGGTTGATTACTAATAAAGATTGTAGAAAATCATATCTCATGTATAGTGCTGGCAAAATATACCTAAATTCAATAACCGCCATTTAATAATTTATGTATGATTATTGGGTGAGTAATTTGGTTGAGTAATTTATTAATGGGTCAATTATTAAAACATAATATATTTAGCAAGTCGTTAGTGAGACCCACTCCCAACTTGCCTACTCCCACTGAAATACAACCCGCTTAAACCAGTCTAATAATTTATACTTAATGTGTGAATAATTTAGTTGAACAGGTTATTAATAGGTCAATTATTAAAACATAATATATTTAGCAAGTCGTTAGTGAGACCCACTCCCAACCTACCTACTACCACTGAAATACTATTTCACTCTCTCCTCTCCCGTTTCTTTCTTTTCTCTCTCTTCCCGTACTCTCTCTCTCTCTCTCTCCTCCCGTATTCTCTCCTCTCTTTTTCTCTCTCCTCCCATTTCTCTTCTTTTCCCGCTTCTCCCCTCCGTATTCTCTGTCTTCTCTTGTTTTTCTTTCACCTCCATTTTCTCTCTTGTTTCTCTTTACTCTCTGATTTCCTCTCTTCTCTTTTTCACGACCAGATTCGGCCCGTCGTCCTTCACTCTTGATGAACCCTGCTTCTCTCTCTTCTCATTCAGGAAATAAATAACCACCACCTAGACAAAACTCATGCCACAAATCAGTCAATTTTTTTTTTTTTAGAAATATACATATTAATGGCAGTGTAAGAATTTTAACGAGCGACTTTTTGGAATATATATATCATGTATTTTCATTTATATGAACTGTTCTAAAAAGAACTTCTATTTTTTTTTTTCTTGCCAATTTATGTCTAAAAATATTCGGGTCATCGGGTTGGGTGTGGGTTGACTCGCCCATTTAACACCCAACCTGTTTATAAACGGCTATAAATAAGTTGATAATGGGTTATTGATCCATTACCAACCTGCTCATTCATGACCCGCCCAAGTCCACCCAATTACCACCCCTACTCATGTATCTTGTGACGGGCCCAGAAAATTTTGTGAGGAGGGGTGGCCTTTTAATTTGTGGGGACAAATTTATATAGTGGGTTCATTTTTGTAATTTTAATGGAGTTTTATTTGTAAATTTTTAAAAATTTAAAATATAAAATGCAAAAAAATAATATTCAGTGGGTGAATTGTAATTTTAGTAGGGGAATCTTCATAAATTCTTAAAAATTTGAAGTATAAAATGCAAAAAAAAAAAAATAAAAATATGAATCCAATAGGGACGAATTATAATTTTAGTAGGGCATCTTCATATATTCTAAGAAAAAAATTGAAGTATAAAATGAAAATATAAAAATTCAATGGGGGATCAGCCCTCACTAGTCCTATGTTGGGTTTGTGCTTGCATATATCATGTTTTTTTCCTTGGAAAATGATTTTTTGGCCGATTACGTAAAGTGAATTGTCTGACCTACATACTTTGATTGGTCATGAATGTAAAATATAAGGAAGTGAGAGCCTTCACTTTCTTATATTTGAAAAAGATAACTAATCAAAACTCGTGTGTCAACAATCACTTTGAATAGTTCAGCCAAGTATCACTACTCTTTTTCCTTCCTTCATTTGGTAATATGGTCTGATAAATGGAGTAATACCTGTCCATCCTGCGCAAAGAGGATTCATCCTCCGTGCTAACGTGGCCATCCAATATTCAAACACTTGTCCATAATTAAAAAATAATAAAAATATGTAATACCTTTTTTTACTGGTTAAACCCGTTTCTTCTTGTCACTCTCTTTTTATTTTCTCTCTCCTTCTCTCTAAATGCAGAGCCAAATTATTTATCTTCATTGTTCTGATGGGTTGGATTTGAAGGCATTGTTCAACTCAATTTTTTCTCCTTTTCAAATGAAATGATGGATTCATTCAAGAAATAGATTTGTGTTCAAATAATTTTGATTTTGAAATTTGTAGTCGGAACCAGTCAAGCTAACTTGCAATAAAAACCTTCTTTATAATGTCCTTAGTTGGGAAGGAAATACATGATAAAAGCCTCTTCACAGTCGCAAAAACTACTTCATTTCTATTATGTGGCAATAGGATACAAAATATCTCCTTTTCGGAAAAAAAATTAAATAAAAATAGGATACAAAATATTCAATCCATAACATCCCCAAAAACTCCATTATACATGCCTCAGATTGACTAACAAGAATCAATAATTAATTCTAACAATAAAAAGTAACAATCCCCATCATTCCCAAATACTCCACCAGTCAGGCCTCATATTGATTAACCAGATTCAATAACTAATTGTAAAAACAAAAAATAACAATCCCCAGCTTCCCCCAAAACTCCACCAAACAGGCCGCGTATTGAGTAACAAGATTCAATAACTAACTGTAACAACAAAAAGTAACAATTCGAGCATCCCCAAAAGCTCCACCAAACAAGCCTCAGATTGACTAATAAAGAGGAAAATTTTCAAACTGGTTGCCTTCTTCTGCAGTTTGTGAGAGGTTGCCATAATGCGACTCATACAAGTATTGAAAAACTAAAATTATGAGAAAAACAGATAAAATAAATGGCCAGAGAAAGTTAAAAAACAGAGGAAATAGAAACCCCTTTTTTAAAGGGTAAATAGAAAAAGTATTCGAAGTTCTGTTTCACAACAACATTTTTATATAATATTTGAAGAAAAAACCCCTCTTTTAAAAGGGTAAAAAGCCTAAACTAGAATGAGATTTTTTTTTTTTTTAAAGGGTAAATAAGAAACCCCTCTTTTTAATGCTGCTCCATAATGCAAGTATAATATTTAAACATACCTTAAATGTGGGAATATGGAGTCAAATCAACGTGGCCATACTTTGCTGAAGCCAATTTTGATTCCACTAACACTTTTAGATGAAAAACTTTCAGACTCGCATGGTTTCTTTGAGCCTTGTTTCGTGATCCTACCAGAACAATAGAACTTGGCTATCCGGGGGAGGAACCACCGGGAAGGAGGAAAGTGGCCGTAAGCTACATTAAACATTAAGATGGAGAGAGAGAGAGAGATGGGAAGATTAGAAGGAAATGAAAATGGGTTTGTTGCGGCACATATAGCTTAGAGAAAGATTGATGGAAGAGAGTGACAAGGAGAAATGATTCAATCCTAAGTTATATAAAGCGGGAATGAGAACAAATTCAAGAGCGGGAGTGTGAGAGCGGCATAATTAATTTATAAATACTGAGAATTTAAATCAGTACGCGCGCAGAGTGTGAGAGCAACATTCGTTGAGAAGGATCATGTGATTTAGGTTTACCATGCGAAGATGGACATTACTCATGTTTTTATCATTTTTTAATTATGGACAGATGTCTAAATATTGAATGGCCACGTCAACGGAGAAGATGAAATATTCCTATGATGAACTCAGCAAAGTCTACAAACAAGGACGGTAAAAGTACTACATAGAAGGAAGGCGAAAGTATTTTATATCCCTAAGGAGATTAAAATTTCTGTGGTCTGTACTCTGTACTTTTAATCTTATTAGCTTTAAGATCTAATCTCACTAACGTTGTTAGTTGAGGGTTTACTTAGTGCAAGTGTAAGAAATTCACCTTATATATATATATATAGTTAAACAATTGTGAATTGGCTTTTCCTAAATTGCTTAAAAAATGTTTAGTCTTGAAGGTTCCCGATCATTTTTCTATCAAATTTTCTCTCTTCCGCGAATTCTTAGTGCCCCGCATTCTCGTGTCTTACACTAAGTTCACGAAGAATTATGAAGTCTTTCTCAATATATATTTTTTTACCCTAAAATGAAAATTTGTTGAGGACATTGAATCAAAATACTAACAATTAAATTTTAAATTTTATTATTTATGATTTTTGGTTAATTTTTTTTTTTTTTTTATTAAAAAAAATCATCTTGTTCTACATAAGACAGATTATACAATATTCTGTTTACTTTATTTTTTACTCTCTTTGTCCTATATTAGTTGTCAACTTCAAAAATTTTGATTCACAATTTTTGTAAATTAAAATTATCAAAATAGATCTCTAATATAAAATATAGATAGTATATAAACATATTAAAGAAATATGATTGAAAATAACATCAAATAATTCAAAAATAAATAAAAAATCAAAATTTTTTAAATTGACAATTATTATTATTATTACGAAGGTAGTATTTTTTTATCTGAACTCCGTTTGAATGGGTCTACTTTGATACGACATACTCTGAGGACCACACAATAGTGGTCAACTTTGCTACGACTCACTCCATGGACCACACAAATTTCACAATAGTTGCAATAATAATTGTTTTCCACATTGTTAGAACACATTTCCTTTAAATCTCTTCTCTCTCATCACTCATTTTCAGTCATTAAAGACTTGGTCCACCCAAAAAAAAAAAAAAAAAAAAGGAAAAAAAATAAACACCCCTTAATATATCTAACCAGCTTAATTTCTTGAACTGGGAAAGACTCATAAAAGTACTTTTATTACAACATTCAGATATGGAGTACTGATACTTCTTATTAATATAACAACTATAATATCTAGAAAATGTAATAATCTTTATATAATTTTGTTTTTTTTTTTCTCTTTGGGCTCACCAAACAAACTATCGAGATCTCTCATTCAAATCATCTTCTAAAAATGTTCATGCACTCAAAAGATTCAGAGATCACCCGCTCAACCCCCTAGGAATATTATGTCCTGCAAACGAACTTCCTTTATGATTTTCCTTTATTTATATATCTATCTATTATAAACACAGGACAATGAGTGTTTACGCCGCAACCATCCCAGCAAAAAACTGCATTGGACCGGAGCAAGGAGAGACAGAGTACTCTAGTGTTTTCATCACCCCGGAACTGCATTTTTCTTTGTGTTCGTCCATTGAAATCTGCTGGCAGCGGCACTCAGAGCTACAAAATGCTTTCTCTCCCCTGCAAAATAAGCATACATCAATTATATATCAGTGAAATTTGTAAGTCATACGATATGAGAATATGCTAAAATTTCCTTCCAAAAGATTTTTATCTAGTCAAAAGAATCAACACCACATGCAGATGCAAACAAGGTCCATTTGCCATTTCTCTATCACCACCTATAGCTACAAAAGAACAAATTTTAGAAATCGTACAAGGGGCCAAGTCGTGTTCTAATTTCTACCGTTTACAATTTTTCCTCTAGTAAAACAAAAAAACCTAGAGGAAGTGGCTAACTCAAGGTCTTTTTCACAACAAGCGTCTCTAAAATGCATCAGACGTGTTTGGATACTGAGAAAACAGTTAAAATTAATACACTCGACGAGTAATCGTTTCAACACCATTCAAAAAGGGATCTTGACTATGCTCTCGTCGGATATGCTCCGACTGGTTTTCCCCATTTCGCCTGTTTGACTTTGGAGTTCTTTGAACTTAGGATGAATTTGCCGGCAGATAGCTCTGTTCTCAGACCCGGACCATATGGAAGGTCACTGGAGCGGAGATCACCGTTTCCGCGGACCATGATTAGGAACCACTCCAAATTTAAATATCTAATGGCTGCCTAACATTCTCTAGAAGGTCAGTATGACACTTTGCAGCCAATAATGGTATAGTGTAATACTCAAAATCTACAAATTGAAGTTTCTTATAAAGTACATAACCAAGAAAAAAGAAACGGAACCTTTAACTTCCATTTCCTTCAATCTTCTTAGCAACTACTGGGAGCACGAACCGTACGTTTCTTTATAAAAATAAATTAATGCAGAAACCCTACCCTCCTCACTTGGGTGAATCTTACTGATATAATTGAGAGTGTTCATGAAGGAAACAGTTGTCATCCTAATCCTAATCTTCTTGGACAGGTACACATATGAGAGAGAGGGATGGGATACAAAAACTTGGAGATGATAAAAATCATTTAATAATTGGGAGTGGTGGGTGTTTCCTTCAAACACCATTCCCATCCAATCTTGGACATCACCTTTAAGCGTGACGGTAATTAAACCTATTTGATGGTAAAAATTGATTAATTGTTTATGTGGGTACAAAATAAAAACTCTGGCACATGACTATAAATTTCAGGTGTACATTTTTAACAAAACCATGGGTTGACCGTTTCACTACGAAGTTTAGAGAACCACAACCATCTTGCCCATCTCAAACACTGGCAAAGTCTAGAACTCTTCCATATTTAAAAAATAAAAATAAAAATAAATAAAAATCTAACAAGGATTCCCCCAATTTTATCCAAACTTCAAATACAAAAAATAATTAAAAACACAAACTTCCCCAGATTGGATGACATCAATTTAATTTTACATGCATTCGATTCACAGATCCCAGAAAATCCCCAGGAAATCGAATTATAGTCAAAATAAATTAACAAAAAAGAACAAACACAGAGAAATTGAAATAAATAGGAACATATATATATATGCGTGTGTATGTATGTACCTGTACATGAAAATGTCCAGTCCATGAAGCTTCTTCTTGCAGAGATAGCAAGAACTCAGAAAATCCGTTGTCCGAAACCCCGTCAAGGCCGATGCTGCGTCGCCGCGGAGTCCATCGCGGCCGTGACTCGGAGGCGAAGAAGCAGAGAACACTCCAGAACTCATCCAATAACTAGTGCTACTCTCAGACCCATTAGCTAAATCACCATCAAAGTACTCTCGCTTCTTAATCAGATTGTTCCCGATATGCGAAATTACACAAGTATACCCCTCAGACAACTCCATTTCCTCCTCCAATTTGGATCCCCCAAACTTAGCAACCCCGCTAAATTTAGCAGAAACAGAGCTATTGTTGTTGATGTTCACTATCGGGATTGGGGTGGATCTCGGTGAAACCGCCAAAACAGTGTTTCTGTTAGATTTAGCAGGGGAAAATGGATCGGGGCTCTGATCCAATTCGTTCATAGCCGCAACAATTCCGAGCCCTACAACACCGTTTGGCTCGAAATTCTTTGGAGATTTGGTAGCTGATTTTGTTGGGTTATCGAAGAAGGAGAGGTTGATTGTTAATCTCTTCTTATTTCCCTTTAAATCAGACATTTCTAGAGAGAGATTTTTGGTGGGTATTGTCTTAAGCTTCTCTCTCTCTCTCTCAGTTTTTCTCTCACTAAATTAGCAGATGTCTTCAGTTTAGCTAGTGCTCTGCTAAATTAAGAGGGGTTTCGTTAAACAGAGAAGCAAAAGAAAAAGATTGTGTGAGAGAGAGAAAAAGAGGGAGGTCTTTAAATTCAGAGAAGTCCAGTATAAGAAATAGTACAAAGATTCCTTTACGCGCACACAAACACACGCACACACACAGATGACTTTGCACACACAATAACACACACACATACAGAGAGAGAGAGAGAGAGAAGAGAGAGAGGACCTATGAAGGAAGACCGCCTCACCTCTTTCTCTCCTATCGCCTGTGATATCAGAGAGAGTATTTAAATAGTTTAATACTATTCCGTACTATTTTACTGTAATTTACAGTTTTGTCCCCACCAAAACTCTATTACTACTATTGATTTTATTTTATTTTTAATCAATTCATAGTAATAAAAGTAGATTCTTGTGCAATTATTTTATTTTCGAAATAACTTCTCAATAATTCATACTTTTGTTGTATTTATATATATATATGTTCATAAATCCTTGATTATGATTGTCGCCACCTACTACTACTAGTAGAACAATAATATATATTATTAGGGGTTTTATTGTAATATCACATAGTCATGCAATCAGTATTGTAAAATGTTGGCTTTAATCGTTTTTGTGTCCTAATCATTCAATTTGATCGGATGATAATCACATCGAGTTGATACGAACGTCTAACTCAATGTTATAATTTTTTAATCCATGAAAAGGAGAGGAGGGAAAAAAAAAAAAAATTTGGGAATGTGTATCCCTTACGTTAGAGTCATCCTCAAATTTATTGACTCTAAAAACGAATGGTAATTAAGTGATATTTATTCTAATTCTCAATAATAAGATTGAAGGTTGAAGATTTATAAGTAAAAATAAAGAAAAAACAATATATATATATATATATATATATATATGTATATGTAATAGTCTTCACCTTAACTGGTAGTTGGAGGAATAAAAAAATAAATGAAAGGGAGTATCCAGAGGGAATGGATGTAGCATTTTAGGGAGAGTTTTATATTTTTTAAACCAGTATACCCTCAAAATAAGTACTGTTTAACAAGTTTTTTAGTAAATAAATAAAGGTTAAAATTGGTATTATTATTATTATTATTATTATTGAATTAGTTTTTTTGTTTCCTAATATTTTGGACGTAAAAAAAAGACACTTTAATGAAGGATGTCTTCATCCCTCCTCGTTTCCTCTCTTTTTTTCAATTTCCTTCTAACAAGAAAGCATATCCATAATCCATCCTTCACGTTAAAAAACAGAAAAAGAAAAAGGCAATTTTTAAAAGACAAATAAAATCATTTTATCTATTAAAAAGAATATTTATAAATATTTAGTGAGTGTTGGTATGTGTTGTCCTCCTTTAGAAAATCTGAAATAGTGAAGCTGAAACATCATTTCCATGATTGAATCATGCAGATGCTATATATTGGATCGAGTTGAAACATCATTTCCATGATTGAATCATGTTGGAGCTATATATATATATATATATATATATATATATATATATTCAGAAGCAAAAGGCTACATACATAAATATTGAAATCACTCTCTTTTAATATATATTCCAATTAGTTCACATTGTAATAAACAAGTAAAAAGCAAAATACAAGAAAAGTGTTTAGTTGTCTTGGCCCCAGGAAGCCTTAGAGCCAAAATAAATTATTTTATTTTACTTTAAAAATATATAAAAACATGAAAGTTGTTTTCACACCTCTTCAAATCCTTATATCTTATTTATAATGAATATAAAAATATATAAACAAATATTTTTTGACAACAAACATTCTGAGTGACAAAAATATATATATATATATATATATATATATACAAAATTATTCGCTCTCATGGTCATGGAAAGCGAATATAATTTTAAAAAAAATTATGCGGTTCATGTTATAAATTTATTAAAATTTTCTTACGTGTCCAATGTTAATGTTAAGTTAAGTTTTTTTATTGTGAATATTTTTAATTCAATACATAACCAATGTAAATAGTAGTTTCAATGTCAATGTCTTTTGAAAAAGCCATTTTTGTTGTTTTATGAATATAAAAATCGTGCAAAACCTTCCGTTGATGCAGATTTTTATGGTAAATCACCCGATATAAATCCAAAATTTAATTTTATATATCCAAAATTCGATTCAAGTGGCTTAAAATTTATGACCTATTGAAGAATGGAAAAACCTGGTGAATAATTGCTATTAATAATTTGTTGGTCATGTTAGTGCTTATTCAAAGCAAATTGGTATGACTTTTTAATTTTTTAATAAAAATTGGTATACTGACCCACCGCTTAGACATTGAATATATGGTTTATTTAATAAGATATAATATTTGCATTCTCATTTTATATATATATATATATATATATATATATATATAAGGTACAAAGTAAAAGAAAATAAATAGAGAATTCACTTATTATAAAAAAAATAAAAATAAAAATAAAACAAATGATTACTTTTTATTGTTTTTTTTTTTTTTCCTCATATTGAAAGGACTAGAAAAACAATTTAGAGTGAACTCTTCATCTCTTTTCCTCTACTTTTTTTAAAAAAAAAACAAATAGTAATATAAATTTATATATCTCTTTAAATCATTTCCTTGCTTTTCTTTTCGTTTCCATCAATTGAAAATGGACCACATGAGAAAGTTAAGAACATGCACAAAAGAAAAAGAGAAAAAAGAAAAAAAAACACGGAGTATTACAATTTAGAATATTGACAAGTTTGCCCCTCTAAGTTGACAATACCACGTACATAGAAGACAGCCTCCACGTGGCAACTGACTAGACAGGTGTAGGGTGAGATGATGTTGAAACTGAAGTCTTGATTATTTGTGAGTGAAGAAGCGGACAACTTTTTAGGAGTTGGTGATCAATGATTTCATGTGCCGGGGCCCACCACAATTGTCCTTGTGGGCCCACTTCTTTTGTAATCTCTCTTTTGTTGCGTTGTGTACCATTATAACTTTACTTACCTCGGTGATTTCAAAAAGAAAAAAAATTATGTTTTGAGCATTCAAGTTTTAGAAATCTTTATTTCTCCCCTTTAGGGTTTTCATAATTCTATTTTTGGCCCATCTTTAACTATTATTCTATTTTTTTTTTAATGCAAGGTTGTGTACATCTATCTAATCTCAAGGGTTAGTTTAATTAAAAAAGACTTTGGTCCTAGCGTTTTGTGAAGTATCAGATTTTATGATTGATTTTTCTTAGGTAGACTTTAGTTCTGGTGTCTTGTGAAGTATTAGATCTTATGATCGATTCTTCTTAAGTAAGGAAGTGAAGGAAATAAAAGAAAATCAAATTTTTATCATACATTTGGTTAGTAAGAAATTTTTTTGAAGAAAGTTGTATGAAAAAATTATTTTGTTAGTTTAGATAGTAAGAAAAGGAAAAGAAAATAATTTTACTTACCAAAATACCCTTCTTATTTGAAATATTAAATAATAGTAATAACAAATGTGTTATATAAATAATCTTTATATTCAATGATTTATTTTAGTAAAATAAGGAATATTATTATTATTATTTATTTTAATTTTTTTTCATAAATTCAAGTAAAATAAGTGTTTGATTTTCATTGGGTGTCATTGATTTGAGATACAATTTTGATTTAATTAGGCAGAACAAAATTTTAACATGTAAACAACGAGATGGATGGATAATCTATCTTATACAGTTTTCGCAATAAGTAAAAATTTCTTGTGTTTTTATGTTAGAATTGTTTTGAGGAAAATTTATGAGACGCTGTAATTTTTTTTATTGTTTTTCCTTTCTCGTTACTTCACATTAACCAAACGAAATTTAAGAGTCACATTTGAGCTTTATCCTATCAGAGTAAAATTTTTTAATTTTTTTTAAAGATAATTACTTTACTTGCAAATTGCACCCTTGATATGAGTTATTTTATCATATCATTGATTGTATTTGTGTAAGTGGGCTTCACTTATTTATTTGTTATGATAAAGCTTAAGAACTGAGAGTTCAAGTCTCAATGCATTAAAGGACTAATAAAGAGATGTAACATAATGCAATTTGAAGGGCAAAAGAATGTTTGGATGTTGGTTCAATGGCATAATTAATTACCTTGAATTTGATCGAAAATTTGACTTTAGAAATAGTTGAGTCCAATCCACTTCAAATTAAATTATAAGAATTAAGACTTAGGTTATGAAATTTTGAATGTTCGCAGAAGTTATAAATCTCTTGGTGACTTGTTGATTTAACTTCTTAACAATTAAATCAACATGGTTTTTTAATGCTGTTCTTAAAAGCCATATTTATTCATGGATATACGCCCAACAACTTGTAAAGACTTGTGTGTGTATATATGTATATGTATGTGTGTATATATATAGGGGTTCACGTAACTTGCAATGTGAATGCTTATTTGCTTGTAGTCTTGCAATTTTTATTCTATGATTATAATTATAAAACAAAATTTTCTTAATAGTAATCTAAATCACTAATTAATATTAGATGCAACACTTTTCTGGAAAGCACCAAGAAAATTCGCATTCAAAGTGGACATGATTACGAAATGAAATTGTAACTTCACTTTAAGTATATATTTATTTTTGTGTGTTTTAATTGCCAATAAAAGCGACAAATTAAGGAAAATTACTACTAAGTTCTACTTTTCTTGTTGAAAGAAAAATATGTCCTAAAGATCAATAATTCCTACTTTTGATTTCTTGTTTTTTTCATTTAAAATCTTAAATTTAATTTTCTTCCATTTATACTCTTACTAAATAGAAGTAAAAATTGTGTAATATAAATTTATTCAAGAATTGATATATAATCTACTATATATATATATATATATATATATATATATATATATATATATATATATTGTAGGGGATCTAACTCACTAAGCCACGTGGCACACCCCACTTCACTCGGCTTGGGCTCGAGTCTGGCACCACCAATGATACTACACGCCTCATATTACAACATTGATTATCATATTAATGAATCCCTATCGCCTTAAAAAATACGCATTTAATCATTTTAATGTAATGGTACTTATCTTCGAGCCGGAGGACCAGAATACACCTATTAAAGCCTGCAGGATTATGATGGTTACCCTAGGTGGAGTCTTGAGAGACTTGCAGTTGGAGATATAGGTAATGGTTTGAGACTATAAATATAAGCCTAAAGGCATGAAAGAAAGGACATTTTTGTTGATACTCCATTATATCTTGTATTTAGATACCACTTAGTTGTAATATTGACTCATATTCAAGAACCCCGAC